AATGTTCCTAGGGTCATTCCTTCTACAATTTATCTGAACATTCAACGGCCAAATAGCTGTCACCACCAGTTACGGGATCAGAAACATGTCATTTTACCAATATTTTGATAATAGGCTCATCTACCAGTTATTTCTTGTGTCAAATGCTGTGAAATGGATAAATAACACTTATGGTCTATTTCTCTGTTTCCAGTATTTGTTCTATTTTTAATTTAAATATTATTTTTTTTATTTACCATGGGGGTAAACTTCTGCATGACGTCTGCAAATGAGGTTTGTGGCTCAAGAAGCAAGGGACGATCGTGGCTCAGGAGTTGGTAGTTCTTCTTGTAACCGGGAGGTTGCCGGTTCTCGGCCGTTGTGTCTTTGGGCAAGACACTTCACCCGTTGCCTACTGGTGGTGGTCAGAGGGCCCGTGGCGCCAGTGTCCGGCAGCCTCGCCTCTGTCAGTGCCCCCCAGGGTGGCTGTGGCTACAATGTAGCTTGCCATCACCTGTGTGTGGATGACTGAATGTGTAAAGTGCTTTGGGGTCCTTGGGAACTAGTAAAGCGCTATACAAATACAGGCCATTTACCATTTAAATCCAAAAGTGTCACTGTGTTTAGGCGACAGCACTATTTGCATAGTTTACATATGCCACTCTAAAATAAAATCTTACAATCGTTGTTTGTTTGTGTGTATAGTTCAGGATGGTCTGGTTTACAGATTCTGCAGTGAAGATGGCAAATGGGCACAGAAGAATACCAGTGAATGTGAGGACGACCCTGGTGAGGTGTGTGTACACAGTGCTGTACTTTGTTTTTGTGTGTGGCTTTCTTGTTAATTAGTGGCCATTTTTGAAGCTGCCTGCAGTGGCAGATTGTTACACGGTACTGCAACTTAAAACATTAACTCATTATGATCTGAACTTACTGCCGCATGTGAAAATCCTCCATCTGTTCAGTAAATTATTAGGATCTTTTTGTATTGTTTAAATAAAGCTGAATATAAATTGTGTGTTTGTATCTATGTTTGAATGTAGTCCATGTATGTAAATGGCTTTATCTCTTTCAGCAGCAGTATGGCCGCATCCTCACTCAGTTGCGGATCATGTACACAGTGGGTTACTCTCTCTCACTGGGGGCTTTGCTGCTGGCACTGGGAATTCTCATCTTCTTCAGGTGCATCATGTAAAGAGGACGTGTTAAGGGGGTTAAGGAGCAGACCTGGTTTGAATTACGGGATCTTGTTTACATCTTCTACCTTCTTACTCTCACTTCTTACCTCTTAGGAAGCTCCACTGTATGAGAAACAACATCCACATGAACCTGTTTGCCTCATTCATCCTGAGAGCTGTGTCCATTCTGGTTAAAGATGCTTTACTAACCCTCACACTGGATCCCAGAAGCAACAGTGACTCACAGGCACGAAGCTGGGTCAACATACCGGTCAGCGAACAAACACACATCCAGCTCACCTGCAGTTGTAAAACCTTAGCCATAGCCACCATATTACAGTAGATATAGAGTGTAGAGGCTGTTAAATAATAATATTAAGGTGATTAGTGATTGGAGGAGACAAACATATAGATAACTTACTTTTAATCCCTCACTTTAAACATCAGTGTTCGTCGATCGCAAATGTAATGTAGTGCAGTATGTGCCACAAACACATACAGAGAATATTCTACCACGATATAATTTTTATATTCAACAGTGTGACTTGCACAGCTCGTCCTGAATATAAATTCCATGTAGGTTTTAACAACCACCACACATATATTTCAATAAGCTGCTGACTAAATATTGATTGGGTATGTCTAGACCAACAAATCTGTGATAAGAAAGATATATTCTACAAAACATTATTGATGTTGTTGGATTTGTTTTTCATGTCATTTCCTGTAAATAAAGCTTCAGTAAACAAATATACCCCATGTTGACAAAAGTAATGGGTCACACCTCTTAATATTCAAAATGAGGTGTTTTCAGTCTCATTGCAAAAGGTGCATAAAATCAAACACCTGACCATGCGACCTGTTCTTCTAAAGAGCACACCAGCCCTAACATGGCACTTTATAGGATGTATAGATTATAGACTTTCTTCCAACAACCTTTATAAGTAGTGTTACTGCAAAAGAAGGAAAAAGAAACTACAGCATGTCAGCCACAAAGTGACACACCACGTAAAGTTGAAAAGCGGGGTCGCCAAGTGCTGAGGCGTATAGTGTGTAAAAGTCGCCAACGCAGTGCTGACTCAGTAACTGCAGAGTTCCAAACATCCTCTGGCATTAACATCATGTGTTTCCATAGCCGAGCAGTTCCAGTAGGTGTAATGTGTGGGTGGCCCAGTACTTTTGTCCATATAGTATATAGTTTATATATGTTTGAAATTCACATGCTATTCTAACCTGTCATGAGTTCATAAAGGTCCATAAGAATTTAATTTAAAGTTCTGAAATGCGGTTGCAAGAGAATATCAAGAAACATAAAGGACTGATCACTATCTAGGATTTATTACACAGAAGATGAGCGAGGGCAGACACCTGTTGATATCTGATACCACTCAAATGTATACTGCTATTGCCCATCTAATTATCTCTGTTGCTAAAACACACAGCAGAATACTTGCACCATATTAGAGGCTATGGGCACATCAACATTGCTTGTATTTCTGGATAAATACTTTACATTTCATTTGATACATCTCTCTACAACATAGATGTAAATTATATGTAACACGAATTAACTTGAACCACTGTTTGGATGTTCTGTAGCCACTCTCAATGGGTAATAGAAATAACATTAACTTTACAGTTGAAGAGCAAAGTAGCATATACCTTTTACACACTACAGTGTGGGATGATTTTCTACTACGTTATAAGTGGAATAAAAACTACAGTTAAGAAATTTAACATTAGTACAAAAAGATAGTGAGTCAATGTATAGAGAGTGGATATATTCAAGTTCCCCTTGCTTCTTTTTACATGAAACACTCCACATTTGTCGAGGAAGATGTCAGATAATCCACATTTAGCTCAATCATTAAGAAGTAAAAATCACTTAAAAATATTATATGTTTTTTTTGCTTTCATTTTTGTGGTGTCTAGCAAAGGGGGAACTACCCGTGTATTCCACAATAAAACACCCACTGTGCTGTACTGTAGCTGTTGTCCCTGAACTGGAACAATGTTAAACTAATTCATCTGAACTGAAATATTTGTCAGCTTTTACCCTGTGAAGCTTTGTTTAAAAGCTGCATTTGCTACATTTGTGCAAGCACGGACAACTTGGCTTATTGTTTGTGTTCCCATGGTATCTGTCTCGTGTCAGGCTGTGATGTGGTGTCGTGGTGCCATGGTGATGATGCAGTACAGTGTAATGGCCAACAACTATTGGCTTCTGGTGGAAGGCATCTATCTTCATAGCCTCTTAGTCATCACTGTATTCAGCGAGAGGAAGTACTTCTACATTTACCTGGCCATTGGTTGGGGTAAGAGCATAATCTGCTAAACAGCAGCTGAACACTTGGCTTTGTGCTTATCAACGTAATGCAAAAGGTCCAACAGTGAACAGCGCTCTGACTTTCAGCCAGTCTTTTGATGGGTGATTTAGTCAGACGACAGACATTAGCAACAACAAGTCAGCCAACAGTTATGTTAATAGCTCTGAGAGCAAGGAGGATGTACAAGAAAATCTGCGGTCTCTAGCTAATGTATCCCATAAACACTCGAGACTACTAAAAACACTACACCTTACCTTCTTTTCATGTTTGAAGTGGGAATGTATCCTTAGTGGTTTTCTCTTGCTACCAATATGTTTTGTCTGTCTGTCTCCCAGCTGCTAGGTGTAACAACGTTCTTGTATATATAAATATTGTGTAGCACACAGCAGAGCTAACTTATCAGAAGGGTGTATTTTACCCCAGACCGTAACTGTTAAAGGCTGATGGGGAGTTCACGTCGCCCCACCAAGCGGGCGGATAAGTTTGAATCTCAGTGACCTTAACCTAAAGGTCAAAGGTCAGAAGCCAGATATTCTGAAAATCCTGTGAATGCAATAACCTGAGAACAAGGCACTATAGAGTTTTCAAATTGATACAATAGGTGCGCCTTCGAAGAGTCTTAGGCGGCTTTGAATCTCAGTGACCTCGACTTCAAAGTGTTTTCTAAAAATCTTGTGAATGCAATAACTTGAAAACAAGGTGACATAGGATTTTCAAATTGACACCTCAGGTGTTTCTGCTAGGAGGCTGAGAGATACCACTGACGGTTACAAATGTTTTTTAGACCTTAGAACTAAGCTGTGTCTGAAAATAGAAGGTTTTCAAAAAAGCCCTGAATTCAAACTTCTCTGACTAACCAAATAATGTATTCTTCATTCTTTTTTAAAACCTAAAGCCTGCATTAGTGTGTCTCTCTCTGGAGACAAAGAAAGATTTATACAGGTTTTGTTTTTACATTTCCTTAGACAGTAGCACTCTGCAAGACCTGCAAATTGACTTTGATGTATAACACCCAGTAGTCTTTAAGACTGTGAGATATCTAATTCATACCCACGAGACACTGAAAGAAAATATGTTTTGTTTTTGTTTTTTCATATCACTGTAAACACCTAACGGTGTGGAAGTCTGTCAAGTATTGTTTTGAAACACACAAAAATGTAATGAGTCCAGCTCCTACTACTACTTAACAAGTCCTCAGATTCCATAACAACAAGCATTCAAGAGCAGATGTGCTTCTCCAGTTCAGACTTCCCAGATTCCACCATTTTTACATTTTCAAATGAATATTGAATGTATGATTTTCAGCCTCCTGTTCTGTAATAAGAACTTAATTATACAGCTGTCCATAGTTAAGTTCTTGTATAGCTTTTAAAAATACTCACTGAAGAAAACTACTCATCCATGTCTAAAATAACAACTGTCCAGCTCACCTTGATGTGTTATAGCCTGACAGGCCTGATACAATTCTGAGACCACATTCATAAACACATAGGGATTGAGCTCATTGAAGCTTAGATAAAGGCAGACATGACAGAGATGATTTTAATATTTAGAGACCTTTAAAGTCTGCTTAGGATAAGACGAGAGCAGAAATATTTGAAATGGTAATGAGATATTAAATTCACAAGGACAGAAAAAAATATAAAAAATGTTGTATCATGGGCAGTGATATAATAATATAACTTGATACTGATTACTGGACTAAAGTATAAATATTAGCTAGGACTACTGCGTGTGCTTTGGAGGAAATGATTTGGGATCCTTATTCTTTGCTTTCTGTCATTCTCAGGTGCTCCGCTCATATTTGTGTTGCCATGGATCACAGTGAAATACCTGTATGAGAATGAAGAGTAAGTTTAATCAATTCATGAAATTCTCACATCAAATGGAAGACAGTTTAATTATTGCCGCTTTTATCCGTGACCCCTGAGGAGACAGATGAGTGCGGGTCTTTTTTCTCCTGGTTTCCTTTAAAGAATTTATATTGCAGAGGAAATGTTGATAAAATGTGTTATGCCCATAAGTTTGTATGTTTGTTTCTGTATCTAGGTGCTGGGAGAGGAATATTAACATGGGATATTGGTGGATTATCCGATCTCCTATACTTTTTGCTTATCTGGTAAGACTCTCTGTATCTCTTTTTCTCTCTCTCACCTTTGTGTTTAACTTTGTCCGTTTACATTTGGATAATGTTTTAAAGACAATTCAAAACAATCTATGTCTTGGCAGATGCTTAGGAGTGCTCATAAAGATACCAAATGCTTTTGTCTGCCTGCTTGTATTTGAATGTGTGTAGATGAGGCAGCTGTTGAAAATAGGACTGCAGGAAAAATGTAAGTCGTGTAAAAATAGTGACTTTTATTTTCTGCAGTTGATATTTTATCAGTTCCTACATTCAGTGCTGTGCTGTTTCACTTTGCTCAGTCTGATGACAAAATATAACTTTATACAACCACATGTGCAATATTCACAAAATATCAGTATTTAAAATTTCATATAGGACAACATCATTGTGTTTACACTCCCTCTTAACAACATCATATACCAAAACCAGCTGACGCTTTCCTTTTGTGTGTTTCCTGATTCTTGTTCCCAAATAGCATTATGGATGGACACACTTATGACCAGTGCACTTAAACATGCGCAGTGCTGCACTGTGTGGGAGCATTACTTTTTAATGCAGTTGCTGAAATAGTTGGTAAAGATGTAAAGTTGTTGTAAAGTCTTTCATCATTGTGCAACAACCCCAGAGCTGTTCTGCAGTTCTACTATTGTGCAAACAACCGGATTCACACCTAAATAAACTGCGTTTGTGTACACTCCACTATACATATTTACACAAATACTTGTGTTGAGACAGCACACGCACTTTACCAAACTTGGAGCGCCAAAATCTTGAGTGCTGTGATAATAAATGACCTGCCATCAGTAAGTGTCCTGCACTAGATCACAGTGTGTGCGCACGTGCACATGCTTGTTCTGTGCGCAAGCACTTGAATTGCTCGTGTTGTGGGGACGTTAATCCGTCTGCCCAGTCCCACTGTGAGGACTTCGTTTAAAGTCCGACTTTGTGTTAACTACTAACGCGTTCCAAAGCGGCAGTAATCTTCTCTCTAGCACCATATGCTAACATATTGCATTGTGTTCGCTTCAAAGTGACTTTCTTTATCCTCTTTCTTTCAGATTAACTTCTTCATATTTATCCGTATTATTAAAATCTTAATGTCTAAACTTAGAGCTCACCAGATGAGATACACTGACTACAAGTTCAGGTGAGAAATGTGTTCCTTTATTTCTTTTCTTTTTTGTTTTTTTAAAGAAAATGCAGACAGGAAGCATTTACTTAGTCTTAGTAGCTTTTTCGCTTGGGAATTAACTTTTTTGGTATTATAGCCATTTTTATATATAGTCCCCTGTTTTCAGAGTTTTCTTGTAATCTCTAATACCATTTGCTTCCCCTTTCTCCTTTCTTCCAGACTGGCAAAATCTACCCTGACTCTCATTCCCTTGCTTGGGATTCATGCCATCCTCTTCACCTTTGTCATTGATGAATCTGTTCCTAAAGGCTCTGTTCTGCGCCTCGTTCGCCTCTTCTGTGATCTCCTGTTCAACTCCTTCCAGGTATAAGTTCAACTTTCACTTGTTCCACATGTGCCCATAAATATAACAGAGGGACCTCAGAGGATTAATACCCAGGAAGACATAAGCTGCACGCTAAAGTAATAAAATTATCTGTATAACTCAAAGATGTCACAGAGAACAAAGAAACTGGCACTTTTATATGTTGTACATTTGCATATAAAGGCAAACATAGGTGAAGAGCTTGGGTTCGACATTTCTTTTGCCCAGCAAACTCCTTCTTAATCCTCAAATTTTATTTTTTTAGACTATTTCTTACTCAGGCAGCACACAAATCCTACCCTTCTGTCAGATACTGCTGGTGTTGCAGGAAATGTGAACAAGCTGTCCTGGCACCGTGACTTGATGAACCAGATGTGGCAGCATTCATGGCTGAGAGATAAAATTCTTTTTTTGGAAAGACTAGGAAGTGCATTTATTACGGTGGAGATGAAAGGTGGAGTAAGTCACAAGAAGGCACATTAATTTTGAACGCTCTTGTGCTGTTGCTTGTAATTTAGGTCTTTGCACCATAAACTTACCTGATTAGTTTTAGTGAAAAATTACTTTGTGGTACAATGCGCCCCCTCATAACAATAACTCTACACATTAAAAAATGGCGGTGCATTTAAATGTGGCTTCACGTGCTTGTTTGCAAGCATCCATATGTGACAAGCTGGGAGTGAGAGAGCGTCTCTCTATTTCTATAAGACAGGTTTCGGTGCACCTGTGAGATCCCAGCGGCTCTGACAAAATAGTAATAGAGATTTTGACACCCTAGGAATGAGATTGGGCTGCATTAATTATATTCTCCATCATTCATACTATGCCTCTGCCTTTGGCAGTTCAGTGATCAAGTGTTTTAGTTGTCCAGTGCAATAAAATGACTTTTTTTTTTCCCCTCTTGTTGAAAAAAACTGTTTTTACTCTTTTATTGTGGGGACTAGATGAGAGTAATGAGGCAAAAATAGTGATTTTCTGGGTATTTGTTTCTAATAATGAAAAAATGTATTTTAAGTACAATAAGCATATTAAATGTTCTTCCATTTCAGGGCCTGCTGGTTGCCATCCTGTACTGCTTTGTCAATAAAGAGGTGAGACAGATTCATTTGTCAAAAGCCACTTTAATTTTAAATGTATCTTCTTTGTGAGGATACATTTTTTATTGTCTCTGTCTCTTCCTTTATTTGTTCTTTTGTATCTCTAAAAACATCTTCAAGTTCCACTTTTTTTTCTTTTGTCTGCAAGGACCAGCAGACACGACAGGATCCATCTGCTAATATGCAGTCTTTTAAATGCAGTTTTTGGCAAAGAACATCCATCTATTGATGTCCTCTGTGTCTTGTTCAATCTTCATCACCACTATCTCTCCTGTCTCTCCCATCATTTCCTCTCTCAGGTGCAGTCGGAGATGCTGAAAAAGTGGAAGAGGTGGAAACTGGGTAAGGACATTGATGAGGAGTACCGCCACACACACAGCCAAACGCCACACGTTAAAAGCGGCAGTATCGCCACTGGCAATGTGCCCAACACCGGTGACCCAAATGTTGACTGGCCTCGCTTCAACAAAGCCAACAGCGGCCCGGTTTGCTCCGCTGCAGCTGAGGAGAACCGCAAACTCGTTGTCTCCTTTAGCAACGGGACAGGGAAATGCAGACCTGCCAAAAGCAGGCACACCCTGCACTTCTCTTTGCAATCGCACAGAGGCGCCACCAGCAGCACTGCCACAGAGGATGTGTGTCTGGAAGAGCGCGTGAAGTACCGCTCATATACTCTGGAAGGAGAGGAAACTAATGTCTGACTTCCCTGGGACCTCATCGCAAAAACTCTCACTGATTGCGCTTCTTGTTTCGGATCCGTGCTTATCATGTGGCAGTTGTATAGCTTGAGCAGGAAGAGGATGAGGAAGTAACAAACAGGGATCATGATGTTCACCGATTCAGAACATTGCAGGAAATGCCACTGAGTCCTGCCCAGATGCATATGAGTATTTATTGCTTCTGGGAGATGGAGGAAAAAACACTTATTGACTTCAGACATTAGGAATGATCAAATAAATCAAAACTTCACTGGCGTTCAGTGTGCGTACGTGTGTCTGCCTGTGCACATATGGAGGACAGCTATTTCAACCCTTCTCACATCTTATCCGGTGTAACCATTGTGGGACATGCTTGTGTCGTGTCTGTTTGCAGCAGTGTGCACTAATCTGTGGTACAGAAGAACCTCTTGGTGTCAAAGTATGATTTTATTTAAACTTTTGGTTCGATGGAAATGAATGTGAATTGCACCATGAGAGACTCTTGATGTCTGAGTGGTCAGGAGTTGCAATTTACTGGAGACCTCTCTATCTTATCATGCTGTGATAGGAGTCAGTGTTTGCTATGCTGAGGCAGGCACACAGAATATGGACTCTTTCACCTTTAGAAGGAACATGATACAAAGTTTAACTTATTCTGGTTTTAACAAGCCAAAGCCAAACAAGAAAACAATAATATATCACAGGTTTGTTATTGACTGCATAAAGCACGAAATCCATATTTTTATTCATCTACTCCACTTTTAAACAAATTTTGATTGAATGTATATGGACAGAGGAGTAATTTGGTTGAACTGAATTTTAATTGAATATATTTAACTGTATATATATAATTAGATGTACACGCTCTATCCAGAGCCTCTTGGATTTGTCTGACACCTAACTCAAATTCCTCATTTGCCTTCATTGCCTCATTGTAAGATTCATGCTTACACGGTTACAGTCACCGTCAGCTGCACAATTTTTCAGGCGTACTTTAATTTTTAGAAATATAATTTTTGCACAAAATCTACAGCTTGTACAGATGTCCAAAGATTGTTTTATATTCCAGGACGGTTTTTAAAGAAAAAGGTTTTGCATTTAAAAACACAATGTATGACTAAGATTTTTTGTTAATGCACCACATTGACAATGAAAGTTAGATTGTTTTTATGCTTGCTATGACAAACTTTGTAACGCAGAACAAAAATTGTGCCCCACCCACCATATTTATTTGTTGTTGGGTTTTTTTTTGATACCGGAAATAAATGAAGCCAGCAATGAAACACTGCTTAAAAAAATTAAGAGAAGATACAATCTTCACAGTATAATACAAAACCAGTGAAACTTGTGCAATATCAATTTGTCTAGTTGGGAAGCATACATTTTATAGGGCTGTAGCAATGATGGTCATCCTAATTTATCCAAAATTATTAAATAAAAACAATATTAAACTCCTCTAAAATGTGTGTTCACTAAGTGTGAACTATTGCTAACAGGCATGATGCACACATGAATTTGAAATATATCAGTCCCTCTATTGTAGCAAAGGTATTTCCAAAATGAATTCTTGTTTCATTGTAGTTCGTGCAAAGAAAGCAGAACCTGACACTGTGTTTTTTTAGAATAAATGTGGACATTTATTACAGATATTTTTATTAATACGTTTATATATTATATGTAGATATATAGGAAACCATATAAACAAGAAATAGCACCTTGAAGTGACTGTTTTGGTGTAAATAAAATTGACTTGAATTGAAGAAATCATTGTGAATCATTTTCAGCTGATTTCTCTCCAGTGCATCAGTGCTAACACTTGCACTGGAGTGGTAACACCAAGACACCTCTCAAAAAGAAGTAGTAATAGCTGATGTCTGTGGACCATTGGCATTAGATGGTAACTGCAGCCCATTCTGGTTGAAAAAGCAGCTTCTCTAGGGTGTTACATCCATATCCTGTCACAAAAGAGTGAAGGACATACCAGGAGGCAGGATGCTACATAAGGAGAACTGGAGAGGGCTATATAGGAGCAACAACCCAGCAGCAAAACCAGTATGTTTTCTATTACGCAAAGAGCTATAGGAGCCCTACAAAATTACCTCCAGCAGGCTACTCATGTACATGTCTCTGACTAAAATGTTAGAACAAGACTGAGGAAGGCGTGAAGTCAGTCTTTAGCAGGACCTGTGCTTACAGCCCAGCATTGTGCAGCTGTGTAGGAATTCACCTGAGAACACCAGCGATGGCAGGTCAAACAATGGATCCCCAATTTCTTGATCTATCTGTGACAGGCGTGAAAGCTTCTGGATACCCTGGCATCTCCAGATGTTTTGTCACTCTCATTTGCACCAGAGCAGGTGAAATGCGATCATAGCGGTTTATGTGTGTCAGCTGGTCAAATTGCCAGTTTACCTGATTATGTGTTATACTGTGATGAAGGTTCCTTTGTTTTATTGAGCAGCATATACACCTAAATGACCTTTTTTTTTTCTTTAAATTCAGAACAGAAAATAGACACTCTTTAAAGAGTTAACTATACATATCAATAAAGCTAAATAGACAAAAGCAGGTGGGTGATTGGGTGTATTGTTATGCTAATGGTTACAGTGCAGGTGACTCAAAAATGAAAGCAGTAAGAATTATTATGAGAAAAGACTTTTCTTTCACAAAGCATGTTTGTAACTATCAGATTGTGTCTCTTTGCTTAAAGTATTGTAGTTGTCAAAACAGCCCTAAAGCAAACCTTGTCATTAAGAAAAGGAAGAGGTTTTGTATAAAAGCCACATCATTGTGTTTCATATGCCTCTGTGGATCCAATTAAATTTGATTCTGTCAGCAAAAAGAGTCTCAGTGTATGTTGTGTCAAACAGAGTCATTGATGCAACTCTGACTGAAAGGTAAGTAATACACCTGTCTCAGTTTTGTGACATTTAAAAAGAAATACTTGGATTTAGCTGATATTTTGCAGTGACTTTCTGTAGAACTGCTCCTGTTCAATAGCCAAGTTCCAACCTTAGTTTAAAAAAGCACACAATAAGCTAATGAAATGGTCTATGTGCACACATGCAGGAATAACACTCTCAATTATTGCTAATTACATGTGACATAGCCGATTAGCAGCCTTATTATTAACCATGTTTCCAATGGAGATTACTGCAATGTGAAATGGTTACTCATATATCTGTGTATTGTTGTGCAGAAGGTAATGAGTTGATGAATTATGTATTAGTTAGTCATACATGTCTGGGAATGTGTGCTCATGTGTGTAATTGATCTCGAAGTCTCTCTGAAAATTTTGCCGTGCCTGTGTGTGCATTTACATATAAGAGAGAACATAAACCACCAAAGGCAGAACGCTGCATTCCAGCATCGAATATTGTAAGTGCAATTCTGATTATAGAAAAAAGGGATACAGGGGAAATTACAGGGTTGGACAGGCTCACAACAACCTAACATTTCATTTCCAGGAAAAAAATCTGGATTTTGTCCCACTTGGATTATCAGCTTCAGGAAGTGAGTGTGTGACTGAAGGTTTGTCCACAACTCTGGAGCAGAGTTTACCATGAATTATTTAATTGTGTACTGTTGGCAAGCAAACTGTACTACATAAAGTATAATAGGAAAATTTACCCTTTGGTTCATGTGCAAGCCATCTGACATTGGCTACTGACTTTCTTACCTCACTTAGTAGGAAAGGTATAATTACTGATTACAACATGTCCAATAAAAAAACACAGTTTTTTCTTTTTGTTTACAGCAGAAAATCTGGTGTGACGTCAACACCGTGAGAGACACAAGGATGCACTGAGACCCTGCCATTAGAGCTAGCTTACAAATCCAATTTCAATCCGTCTATTTAATTTAATTGTTTTTCTTGTGCAGTTTTACTTGAAAACTGAATGTCAGAATTTGTCCCAAGCCAGCTCATAGCCACTGAGAAAGAGGGGAGACAAGACAGACTGCGATGTCAAAATAATAAACATGAGGTATGAAGAATCAGTCATGGTATGCATGAATGGACAACTGACATATTAGTGCAGTGTGTCGGCAAAACAAGAAAAAAATCTAAAACCCAGTGGTTTCATTCCTTGGCATTTGCCCAGTGGGCCAAAACACTTGTGGGCTGATGGTCAATATGATTTTTTTTTCTTTGTCAATATAATTATACAGGCTACTGGGTGGCTTGAATGGCAGTTGCACACCAGCCCTACAAGCATTTCCAGCCCTTTTTCATAGCTGACACTGGATTGCCCAATCAACAGGTTAGTGTGGAAAAAGTGATCTATAAAGATGGACAAACAAGTGAAAAGTTGGAGCTGAAAAGCTAAAAGAGGAAAAGAAACTAGAAATAAGTGTAGAAAATGACCAACATATCAGCTGTCAGGGCTGCTGCTGCTGCTGCATTCTCAACAGTAGCACCAGCAGCAACTAGTAAAAAGCCGTCACAGCTACTACCAGCCTTAGAACCTGATCAAACAAAATCTATAAGCAAAACACAGTTTTACTGTTATTTATGTGTTTGTTGGGGAATAACACAGTTATTTCCCTTTTTTTGCACATACTACTAGGCTGTACCTGTTGTGAGCCTTACACAGGTAAACCCCAGTCAGTTTAACCATCTTCTCCAACATACGACCTCAGAAAGAGAAAACCCTGCAAAGTATAAAGGAAGTGGAGGGAGCATAACACACTCAAATGAAGAGCTACTTAGAGCAGGGGTGTTCAAATCCAGGCCTCAAGGGCCGGTGTCCTGCAGGTTTTAGATATCACCCTGGGTCAACACACCTGAATCAAATGATTAGTTCATTACCAGGCCTCTGGAGACCTTCGAGACATGTTGAGGAGGTAATTTAGCCATTTAAATCAACTGTGCTTGATAAACAACACATCTGCAACCCGCAGGACACTGGCACTTGAGGCCTGGATTTGGCAAACAGTTTGTAGAATAGAATAGAATTAGTTTTATCTAAGCAGCACCGATTCACAACCCTCATCATCAGGGAGCTTTATAATCCAAGGTGAAGAATGTAGAGAATGTTCCCCAATGATCAGACAATTCCCTGAGAGCATGCACCTGGCAAAGGAAGGACAAAATCCCTTTTAACAGGAAGCAACACTCTGCAGAAGCAGGCTCAGAGAGAGGCACCCATCTGTCATGACTGGGTGGAGGTGAAGGGAAAAGATAAGAAAAACAGAGGAAATAGGGGCAAACAGGGACTGATCACAAAATTGATTTCGTTAATTGGATTTTGAAGCCCAAAATTTGCTTTCAAATTCTGATAAAGAAGCTTTTGTCTCTAATTGGTGTTTAAATTGCAACCATAATCTCGTTAATTGATGCAAAAATAAAGCGAGACCAAATGTATTACAAAAACAGAACAAATACTCACGCTTGCTCGGATCGGCCCACAGTTCTTAAAATGTCTGTTTTAAGAACTCCTATAATATTTTAACTAGTGGGACCCAATAATATCCCAGATGGGCATTTGTGATGTTGCGAGTCTACAGGGAGGATGTCTGAAAAGACATTATATCTTTGGGGTCACTGAAAACATATTACTGTGGTCAAACTTCTTCCATACATCCTCCCCAAAGTGTCCCCACAGGATGCTGAAACCATCTGTGTGTAATTTCAGCTGACTGTGAAAAAATCTTACAGCAATAATCTGAATTTCACTCCCAAACCACAAACCCATGATAGCAAATGGATTGTAGATGGTACAAAACAATTTCTGGAACTAATAAAATTGCTGCAACTCAAAAAGGATATAATTCAAATAAGCGCAGTAACTGTTATCTACCTTTTTTTTTTACTACAGTTAGTCTGCGTTCTAGTTCAGTATCATTTATAACCCTCAAAATAAAAATCTTATGAAAATCCTTAAAGCAGAAAGAATCTCAGACAAGGCTGCAGTAATTATTTAATAAAATAGGAAATAAAGTTATATCTAATAGTGAAGGAATAAATATCCAAAGGCTAAAATCAGTTTTCCTCTGGGTTCACTGACCTTTTGTGGTTGGTATTAGATTTGAAATCACAGTCTTCGTTATATCTGTGCTGTGTGTCTGCGTTGTGTGTGTGGGGGGGGTGTTAGAATCTGCGAAACTGGTTTTTATAATCTAATTTTTATCTGTTTTTTGTGCTGTTGAAGTCTCCGAGTTTGCACTGGACAAGAAGTAGTGTACATGCAGTACACAAAGTTATGCGACGTTATTTTGAGATCATGACAAACAGCTTGAGGAGCTACGTGGCGCGGGAATCAATCAGCAGTGACAGATCTATTGTGAAAAGTACTTGAGTCCAAAAACAGGCACAGGCTGGGTTACAGTCCCACAAAAGTGCAGTAAGAGGAAAAAACACTGCTCACATGTGTACAGAATAAAAGACCATATGTTTGTGTGTACTATAATGGGAGGGGTGTAGATATTGCAGAAAAATAATTATCTGCCTCTTGAGCACAAAGCATTTAGGTCTCATGTGGATCAAACTGTTTTCCCACTGTAATTACTCTCATCATTCTTCTTGTGTTTAATAGCTACGCAGCCAGATTTGGTCTTTCTGAGAGCTATCCTTGTTTTTAAAGGAAACATCATACTGTAGCTGTAATCAGTTACAGTATGATAGCAAAATGAAACCACTGCCATAGAGTTATCCTTGTTCATGCTATTGTACAAAAGATCTGATATTTTTACAGTTAACCTGTGACTCAACAGATGTTGAACAAAGCTAAAGCCTTTCAGAGATAAAGAGAGATTAATGTGTTTTTGTAATTGTTGTGTGCTGCATAAAGCAGTTTTAAACTGTGGGCTCAAAATTGTGTTTTAATGGCTTTATTTATATCGTTTGTACGGAGGTTTGGCTGGTGTAGGTGAACTTTATTTACTTTATCCACCATTTTTTCTGTTCTCCTGAGTACTGAGATCCTGAAATGTCATTGCATAAAGTGGTTTGACAATGTTGGTACTGCAGGCTTACTCACCAGTACAATTCAATTCAGGTTCAATTCAGGTTTATTTCTATAGTGTCAAATTACAACAGTCAACTCAGGGCACTCATTTACTGTAAGCACTATACAGAATTTTGAAGAAAGCTCCAGCAGAGCCAGGATGAGGGAGGGGGAGCCATCTGCTGAGAATGGACGTGGGTGAGAGGAAAAAGAAAAGATGACACAAAAAAAGAAAAAAGAGCCTGGGGAGACAAGGTGAAACAGAGAATAAGGGAGCGAGGGAAAAATATTTAATCACACGCTGCATGTGAGGAGTGAAAAGAGGTGAAAGACAAAGAAGTGCTAAGTGGATCACAGTGAAGTCCTGCAGCAGTCTGAGCCTATAGCAGCAAGGTAGCTAAGGGATGGTTCATTGTCCAACCAAAACTATAAGCTTTACCAAAAAGGCAAGCTTGAAGCCTAATCAAGGTATGGAGGGTGTCTATGGGTCAAATTCAAACTGGGAGTTGGTTCCACAGGCGAGGGACCTTACAGCTGAAGACCCTGCCAAC